CAATTTACCTAGCAAGGACTTCCCTACCCCTAATTGACTTATTCGTTTTTTATCTGCCTGGCCTGTTCGCAGTTGGATTCGCACCCAATTTTTCAATTTACCTGAATAGTCTGATACCGAGAACCTACTGTTTTACGGCAACCTGTTTATTTTTGGCATCAGTTATTCTTCTTGTCGGGGATTCCCACGACTGGCCGCTGGTCAAGTTAGTCCAACCTACTTTTACCAACCGGTTCTCATCCTATAATCAATCAGTTACATTTCGGGTTTCGTTTTGACCAGAATCAGGAGACAAAACTTACCATTGGGCTGTGTGCAGCAAAAGTCCTGGAACCATAGAACTTTTTTTTATTGTGGTGTAGGGCGCCGCATATTTACGGAGATTGTCTTAGCACGATCGCACTGTTTCTTTTTGTGAGCAACCGCGTTGTGAACTGTTGATTCGTTGACCTGAAACTTATACACCGACGTTCACTATCATTCCTTTCCACCCGTAAAAGTTGAGCACTGTTTCTATTCTAAGAAGGATATGTTTTTGGAATTCTCCTAAAATACCATTTTGACTTCTACAAGAAATCTAAGCCGGTATTGTAACTGGATTGTTTTCGTCTGGTGTGAACTCTTCTCACGGATGCCTTTTCAGTTCCTCTTGCACCTGACGACTGCATTGTACATGTCGAAGGTCAAAGAGCATTATTCGAAATCTCTCTCTGTTTCGAGATTCATCCCATCCCATTCGACACCGGCTGCTGTATTCCTAGACTATGGTTGAATTCATCGAAACTTATTCTGAACTAGACACATTCTGAGGCGAGAATTATGCAGCGTTGCATTTCGATAGTCGCAGTTTGAAACTCTTCATATTGTGATTTTGCTCCGGCGTCAGTTTATCCGCTGTAGCGTATTTTCTGCCGATCCATTGAAAAGATGTTCGGGCGGTTATTCTCTGGGTGGTTTTCACTGAAAATGTGGGGGTGCCATCGGGTTGGCATTTTGCCACATTGTGAATCATGCTTAGAGCGGTGTGTAAGTCACGTTGGCAAGGGTCCCTTCTGTGCTGAAGTCACAAAGATCTTCGATCCCTCTTCGGATACTTGATAAGCAGGTCAGCTCAAACCCGTAGGTTTTGTTGACAAATGACTTGGGATACTTTTCATCTTACGATACTTCAACTGTCCGTCTTCAACTCTATGGATGTAACCCGCGGTTTTTTTCTGTCATTTTCAGCAAACTTGGCACTCCCTCAGAGTCAAAAATGAATGGATATCTGATGGCTTTCTCCGGCATTCTTTTGTGTTTTTTGTCTTCAGGTATCGTGCACCTGATCTACACGCGATTAGATCGACGTGATGAAGCCTATTCGATGAATGCACGGTACTCACTGCGTAACAAGAATACTGATCCATCCCCATCTGCCTCAATGAACAACATATTCTGGTTCATTCAGGTATCTTCTATTTTGTAATGCGGTCATTTTTGTCTAGATTACAGATTTGCATCTCAGTATTCATCAGGATGCGTCTCGTTCAACAGATTTTGAGAAGTTTTGCAATAACACCGTGCGTACTATTCGTCCGGAATTTGTGTCTGTTTCCGGTACACTGACCTTTCTTGCCACAAACACTCTCATCTGTTCAGGAGATATCACGGATGCCAGATCAGCTGTTTTTATCAGCTCAAAACAATATCTATCAGAATGGTCTTCCTACCGAGCTGCAATCCGGAAGTCGGGTATTCTCGACCTGACTACAGTTTACGATATTCGTGGGAATCATGGTAACTGAAGATTTTCAGTCAACTGAATCTGATTTCCCCCAGACATGTTTGATGTTCTCAGGGTGAACCATAGCACAGACTATTTCAGGTAAACTAGTCATCTTTGCTTTTTTTCCTTTTAAATTTCTATCTAAATGAAGCATCGCCCTCGAGTCAGTGAATACGTTAACAAGAGGGCGTGGGGCTCTACTACCTTCAGTTACGAAACAAACGCGCAGAATTTCAGACTGAGGGTGGAGGACTGCGGTTACCTAGCTGGATTTTTTCTTGCCGATCGAACCAAGGTCATTTGGCTCCAACAAAATTAGGTTAACCAGCTCACCATGTGGACTCGTTTATCGGTTTTCGCGCTCAAACCAAGTTTGAACCACCTTTCAGTGAGGCTTCTGTTGTGTGGCCTTCTAGCTCGCATTCATCCAGAGTTACGTGCTACTTCCTGTATACAAATACCCCAGGCTTTGGTACTTAGATTCCCCATTTTTAACTTAATCGAACCTCACCCTACGTTGTTCTACATATCATTGCATATTAGTACACCCATTCCTCCAAGGGATCCAGATGATCCAAAAGCCTAACTAGTTGTGAAGGCCATACAAGGCGCTTACAAAGTCACAAATACCACTGACAGTCTCTTACTGTTAATTCACTATGTAAACGTGTATTAAGTCACATGGACTTCTTGTGTATAGGTGTGACGATGGGGAACTTTCTCGGTAGTCCAGTTAACCATCCGTCAAGTAGGCCGATGGTTCAAGTGTAGTCCCATGCGTTCTGTTCGAGCATACCATGCATATCTCGAGCTCTCTTTTCAAGAATCCACCTTCTGAAAAACTATGCGACAGCAAATCCATTATAGACCACCTACCACTACGCTTCGGACGATTAGTTTTCTTGCGGTCAAACTTCATCAAGCTTCTCCTCGTATACGATTGCTTCTTTTGCTCCGGTTCCCTCAAGAAAGTTATCAATTGACGTTTTTTATCAATCATATCATCCTAGTAACCTAAGTCTTGTGCTGGTGCCATCCAACCACACCTGTCCAACCCCTGAAAATTGGTTTAGTGACGTTATTATTAGTAAGTTATTAGTAAGTTAGTAAGTTATTGTTAGTAACGTTATTGTTACCTAAGGCTCCTTCCACAATATCGAACTTTGGGACCTTTATTTCTCAGAATTCACCTTGGCTTTCTATCATCAGCTCCTGATTTGAGTAGTTTGTCCCGTCCAGTCTAGCTTTTTCCCCGAAATATTTTAAATTCTAATTTCTCTCCGTTCCTATTTCAGCAAATATGGTGTTCAGGGTCCAAGCCACACACGATCCTACCTTTATACCGTTCGAAAGCCTTTTGGAAATTACTCTTTTATTAATCTGGATGCCTGTCCCAAGGCGGGAGTCAACTTCCCACTCAATTTCTTCGGTGAACTCACACCAGTACGTTGTCTCTTGAGCTGTTTTTTTCAACTTCCGGATTGAGATAGACCAATACGGGTTAAGGTTCGTTTGCCAACAGTTCCGCTGTGGATAACGTAGAAAGCCCGTTGTGATGTCTGCATGTGTAGTCTAAAGGTCTATCACATGTTCGATTATCACCTATTCACCAGTTGTACCCGCCGTCTTACTGCCTTATTATTAGAATCTAACATCGTTTTTGCTGTGCCTTTAAAGCACACTAATAGTTCAATTGGGGTCAGTTTTCAGAGTAACCATCCAGTGATGTAAATAGTATGGTAATATGGAAATCCTTTTTAAACCCGTTTGAAACTCACATTCTTATCCGCTTGTCATACAGTTACGTCATATATAGCCGATCAATGTTTTCCACAGCTTTTTTGTTCTTTTTTTCACATTTTTGCTTTCCTTTGACCGTATCGCTTTTTAAAGGATGTAGAGAAACAACTTCTAGAATTTGTTTCAAGAACGGAGCGGAGCAATCACACATTTTGGTTTGGTCACTACCCAACCTCCACAATCATTTCACCACGATTGAACCTTCGGGACCTTCTTGGGTGAGTGATTCTGGCTTTTAATCAGTGCTTTTATAGTGTTCTGGCGATCTACCTTGATCTGCGATGAGACATTTGCAACAAAATTACCCTCATCAGTCAACAGTCGTTCCTATTTATCTTCGTGCTGTTGTATCGAGCGGTTACGCGCAATCGATGGGATCCATAATTAACCTATTTTTTCTTTATGTAATGGCGTCACAACATAGTATGGGGTCTAATATTCTTATTTGAACGAGTTCGACAACTTTTAAATTACGCGTTGACCGCATTCGTCTCTTGGCCAAGTTCCCCTCGGTGTCCTGCTAATTGCAAAGGGCTTCTGCTACTTAGTAAAACGAGTAGTTAGATTTTGGCTTGAAATTCTCTGGTAAGCCTGCCGCTCCCAGGGCCTAGTTTTATTTTCGTGGCTCACCAGAAACCCTTCAAGACAATACAGCAGTACTGAAAATTTTTTGCAAAGGTTTAGCTATTCGAATGGCTAAGGTGTACCCCTCGGGGGTTTTGGGCCCACTCCTCTGAACGACACCAAGAACACTGATCCCTTTTTTGTGCTTCATTACCTTCCGCCTTTCAACAAGGAGGCTCCACAATGAAAGTGTTGTTTTCCATTGGTTAGATTCCCTGTCCAAATGACTCATTTAACGGCTCGCGCCACTGGCGTCGTTGCCATCTGGCCCGTGAGTCAGTTCACCTTGATCGATAGTCGGGCTAGAATCGCACCCAGATGTAGTGCCATCTGAAAGTAATGAAACCAAAATCTAAGGTAAATCAACGATTGATGCCTTGCTAATGTTCATACTCTCGACGATTTTGTTGCATTTGTGTGACAACACATAAAGTTATCGTTTTTGCGGTTTGCATCCTGGACTGCTAGGTAGTGAAAATGTCACTCAGATCACATGACCATACTGTGGGAGATTTGTCATCCTAATGATTTAGTAAATATCTTATCTGCAGAAATTCGCTTTTATAGAAGGCCTGGAAGATTAAATCAAAGCGATTAAACGGATTTAATATTTTCATAGAGAGCTCTCCTCCAAGAGACCCTGACCGTGCGATAACTTTTGTCCATCCGGTAGGCGCCTACGGGGGTCTGTCATTTTAAGCACATGACCACATGGCTCCCGACCCTCCTCATTTAGTCGATGCATCCCATTGAGATCTGGTTCTTTGTCTGTGCAGCCGTTCACGTACGCTCATGCAACCTCAGCTCATTTATGCCAGTTTATCATCTACACAAACACTTTCCGATCGGTAACGGGCGTTAGGCTCGAATGTTACAGGTTCTTTAGCGGGTCGTCACAGTAAGATTAGCCAATGTTTTGTGTAGCTGCCGCAGCTACCGCCTGGAACTTTCTGGCAAGTCACTGAAGAAGCTCTCTGAAGCCATCTGCGGGACATATTTGGGTGTTCTCTACTTCATCGTAGCTAAGTTCAAAGAAATATTATTCTTGATGGCGCTAAACATTGAAATCTGGTAGCTCGCGAATCACTTGTTCGCTCGTGTCATGTCGTATGTCCGTGTTCACTTGTATAGTTTCTCGCTAGAGTCATGAATATTCACCTCTGGAGCTTCCGGACGCTCAGCTCTCTTGTCCATTAAATGAGTGAAAGTAATGAGGCTTCACTATAACAGACTCCACTGCAGCCCAGTACTTCCATCAAAAGATACGCTCACCAGTCAGGCTTCTTGGATCTGAGGAGTCCATCGTTTGATGGAGTGTACCGATTTTGACCGTCGGTTTGGTTATGGACCAAGGCTCTGTAATGGTTCTGAGTGAAAGACACTGGCACGTGCGAAACACGCAGCATAGGAATGACAGTTGAGGCTGACGGGTCTCCGATCATGAGCGAAAATCGGCGTAGCAAAGAATCTCAATATGTACACCACCAAGGAATCTGCTTTCTGCTGAATTCTCTTTGAGTTCATTTTTCGTTGCCTACTCGCTAGGCAGCGTACTCATAACAGTGTTACTGTCAGTGGTACCGAGATGCAGTGGCCTGTCGCAAGACTGCGACAGCGAGACATTCCAACGTTATCGTTTTTGCACTTCCGAGAAGGCATGCGCTTGCCACTAAAACCATCCACAAAAAGTTACTTACACTTTACCCCTTTTTTGTCCTCTTTGTGGGTTTGACGTCAACATATCCGTCTCGGTACGATTTATCTTCGCCTCTCTTATGCTTGTCAACACTATTTTATCAACAGGCTACACTGACCGTTGTTCTTCAGGTTACACAAAATAGTCTGATATATTGTATTCGAGCGCCCAGCAACAATGTTCGAGGTTAAACCTCAGTTTTTTTTAAACTTCTAGTTGTGTAATGATGGGAATGAACTCATCTGTAACAGAAATGAAAATGAAGTTCTCCACGATAAACGAGGGGAATAGCTATACTTTTTCCACTGCGAAACACTACTTACAAGCCTGCTAAAAACACTTTGACGTCCACGACTGGTTTCGCCTTGAAGCTAATCTCTTTAAGGCCTCCTAAAGTTAAACCAAGCCTTACTTGGACTGCTCAAAAGTGATCTGGAACCAATTTCAGCGTGTAGTGTAGCCATTTTGAAAGTGCCTCCATAGCAATCCTATCGTCTGTCGATGAGAAGCTGATTTGAAAACTCTTCGCTTGGGTGCAACACCGCGCACCCCTTCGTAATCCGAGCCTCTCGCTAAGTTAACGGAATACCCAATAAAACGCCGCAGACATAAACACGCGCAAATCTTTCGCCTCGAATATGATGCATGGGTGACTCGACTCATCGCTCTCTGGTTAGCCGAAGGTGAGGGCTTGAACAATTTTTCATGCGAGTGTGAGAGGATAGTTTATCGTGATCTAAATTCTGTAACCCCACTCTCTCTCGGACAACACCTCTCCGACCCAGTAGTTTAATCATAGATGTGTAGGAAGTTCTTTAGCAAACAACGTATCTTCCCTTGAAACTCCTGTTGCAAGTGCATATGCCTGGACATTTCACTCACACTGGATACTAAAAGTGTGTCGTACCGACAACCCAGACAAAATATAAAGTGCCCAGAGTTCCTTGTTCTTTGTCCAGCCTACTACCTGCATTCGAAATGTTATTCCGGCCTAAACGGGTTAAATACGAGTAAATACGGGCAAAACGATTTAAATACCTAACTCGATTGCAAAAAAAACGCTGTAAGTGGCTCTTTTTGGGCAGTTCTCCCCCTCTATGGTTTTACAGGTGACCTTAATTTGACGTGAATTCATCAACCGAGTATGAGCATATAGAACCCGTGTCGACGTGTGGTCACGCACTTTACGAAAAAGGTCATCTGAACCAACTTACCGGAATGAAGGTTAGGTAGTAGAGTTCGGAGCCCGCTGCAGATCTGATTGACATCATTAAGCCATCGAATTTTGTTCTAGCAAGATCGGCAAGACTGAATTGTGACCACATTGGGAAGCGGTTCGGTTATGCGTTTTTTGGCGGTGAATACCAGAGTGACTCTGACTTTCGTTCAGCACTATTCATCACTCGGAAACCGAAAATAGGAGCACTTGTGATTAGCCAGTACAACCTTGAGCATAAGTGCTCACCCGCTTTTGTGTTCAGATCATACAGAACTCACGTATGCTCAGTTGCGCGAGCAAAATCAATCAGCTGACTGGAAATTGAAGGATAAATAAAAGCATCAATTCGTTGCTGTATCTCGACTAACGTAAAAGCATCCCAGTGGTCATTGTCCTACAGACCTCCTGATTAACTCTCCATTTCGTTACTTTGTCGTTCTGTAGAACTCGTCATTGTTATAAGTTCCGATCTGTCTTAAAGCAAAATCTGGCGTTTCTTGATTCTGCACATTTATTGGTCTTCAGCTTCTGGGGCACTGATGTTTGTTAAACTAAAACAGACAGGTTAAAGTCGCACTCAGTTATTCGGATATGTGCCCTGTTTAGTACTCTGATCTGGTTCCTATGTGTGTATTGTAATCCGAGTTGATGGAGCACTGAGGTGCCGTTGCCACTACAGATAATAACTGAATAACCACATGATGATGAGTAGTATTATTTCTAGTTCTATCAGATGATAAAAGTAGTTTACCTGAAGAAGCACCATATTCGGGCGTGGGAAATAAAGGTCGTAATGTAATTCGAACCATTACATTTTTGTGTTTGAGGACGTTTTGAAAACGGCTATCGTAAGTTCTGGATTCATCGGTTTTCGACCATTCATCTGAGTGATGGAATGTTGAAAATCGGCTGTTTCAATTGTAGTGGCTGAGTTTTTGCCGACACCAAACCCTTTTGGTTGTCAATGTTCAACCAACAGGGATCTACTTTCAGACAGCTACTGGTGTGAAGCTTGCGATCCCCAGACTGCGAAATACCGTTAGCTTAGTGTTCAGTTGAATAGTTCGACGGAACACCAACTCGAGGGCTTGCAGCAACCACTGTATGTAGAGGACATACGCACCAACCTGGTACCGGCCGACAGTGAGTTTTAGGTGGCAGATATGTGCCGTGCTCTAGCTAGCTTTTTCTGCGTTCTCATTTCTTCGAAGATGTTATGACTGTGATACTTTTTTGTTTCGCTCGCCAATTTGCCATTCTGTTCAGTAATGGCATGAAATCTCAACTGAATTGCAGTTCACCAAACGGTTGTCAACGTATGTTCACATAAAGTGTGTAATATTCACGTCAGTAAGCTACGATGATTGAAAAATTTTCAGTTCGCGTACAATGTGTTGCCAGGACAGTTACATGTAGAATGAGCCAAGTCTTGTGATCTGTCTTTACTCTAGTGTAGTCGTATGCTGCTTGAATCAGCTCGAGAATCCGTAACTCGTGAAACAAATTTTCCGTTCATTTCTTTTCAGACCTCATACAAAAGTATGGTACGCTCATTTGGCAAAATACCCACCGTTTTCGCTCCGCCAGTCACTAGCTAGCTGGGATTCTATCGAGAAGGTATAGAACTGCTATCGGGACGCTTTAGATATTTTAATTCAGGTTGACCTTGCTTCCGGAACACGTTTTTTACTGTGAATTCTAGTGGCCCAAAGTAGAAAATGCGTAATATCTCTCAATGATATTTCGTATAATCCTTCGTTTTCTCAATGCTTTTTTGTAGCCGACATGAAAACTGACGCTTATTCAACCACCAATTCCTGATGTACGATTAGCGTTTGATCAGTGACCCGTAGCTGTTTCGCACATTCTGCGAATTCACCTCTTTCCAACCCTTAATTGGTTTTCTAGGCAGAGTTCTTTCGCTTACTTTTGTGGCCATCTGCACACGGCCCATCGACTGATTCCAAGAATGTACGTTTTGCAACCTCAGGGTTATCTGGAACTGGAGCTTGGCGATTGGCGTGATGGACGGTAGTAAGTGTCGACAGTTTTGCTTTTCAGTCCATCACTTCTACTGCGTTTGGTCGCGTTCCGTGCTCACTATGAGCATAGTTGGTGTTGAAAATACGGTATTTCCCTCAATTTACTCTTTCGTTCCCTTTGGTAAGTGGTTATACTTGGTTTACTTAATTTCTTGTCCCAGAATAAAACCCTCCAGGGAATCTGTCGAAAAAATCCTACAAGCTTTAAGTTATCATTGTGTTTTTAGATAGATTTTTTGCGTTGCTTAATTTTGGACTCCTGCGTAGCCTAGTTAACCATATATGCCCCTTGATCGACCTTGATTGATGCCTAGGGTTCATGAGCACTTGATTCTCGTGAACTACAAGCTGATGATGCATTGTAGGGCGATGATCCCCAGGCAGTGTCGACTGGTTTTCTCTTTGAAGGTTCCTGTAAAATGGCTAGATCCATCCTAGAACAGACCGATCTTACTCGATCCCCATCAGTGGAGAAACCATATTTTTCACTTTTTTCTGTAATGTAGAATTGATTTTCCTGCATCTACATTCGAAATTATGGCCTTGGCTTTTGAGAACCGGCTTACTTAAAGCCTCAAAATTCATTTTAGACAGAGCATTCATCTTGCCCTCCAAAAAGGAACGGATCCGTCGTTGAGGTAGTTTTAGAGGCTTGAATCTGGAATCAAAGAGACGATATTACTCGGATGACTGGTCCACTTTCCAAGAGAAAACCACCAATCCAGATTTAGTAGTTGATTATTATGTCAAAGAGTTTGTCATAAGCGAAGTTGACAGAGCAGTGAACCCTTAGTAACTGTCTTGACCCAACAACCGATGGTTTAACCTTGGCTACGCGCACACCACAACCTGTTGGAACATTTCAACGTCGCAATACCGATCGAAGGCAACACTCTTAGTGATTAGATTGGAGCAATACACAACCAAATATTTCACCAGTTCTCACCAATCTCCATTTTGTTCGTTGTTATTTACGAATATTATGTGTGATAGTTTTCGCGTTCAATCGTTCGAAATGACCGGAAGGTCAGTGTTTCGAACCCGACTCAACATCCTGACTGTTCCTGTCTAGGCTTGGATAACATGCTACTATCTCAGCTCTTGTAGTTCCTTCGGTTGGCACCGTAGCTAGGTACCGAAAGCATTAAGCTGGGCGATCCAACGACTCAGATTTGGCTGGTTGGAAAACCCCTAGTTCGTAACCACCTAAGTGATGGGAGCTGAGGACCGGTGTACAGGTTTGGCGCGTTGTGCCAGTATCTTTAACTTACATATATGAGGTATTACTGAGTACTGGAAAAAGTAAGGTGTTCCACCCCATCCATACGAAAGCCCTTGGAAAACGTATACAATACAGAAGGCATTTTATATGAATTTTGTTGGCCGCCTTCCCGCGACAAGGTCTCCTCAATGAAGGAACACTTTCCAAGCCGCCTTACTGGGCATCCTTGAGGTAGAATCTTTGGGCTTGGACTTTGTTTTTTTTCAAAAAGATAGTGGAGAGATTGGAAGGCAATCTCATAGAGTTTCACATCCATTTGGACGTTATCTGGCGGTTGTTTGTCCATGCCGGACCCTAGTTGCAGAACTACACAGAAAGTTTATGCTCCTCGTTTTGTGCTTTTCCCATAGTTACATCGTAATTGAGAAAACCTCGACAGATTTTTTCCTGCTTGGTTGAAATGCCTTGTCCGTAACATCGATTCGTTGCTTATGGAATGTAACGCCCTTATTTGAACAGGAGTCGTTTACTTACGAGGTAGTTGAATACTATGGGGGTGTGGGATTTACTTGAAAAACCAGCGTTTGGCCCTATACTCACTAACTTGGAAGATCCAAACTGACTCAGCCTGAGGATCGCTTGTGTAGCTATTAACGTCTGGCTTCAAATGTACGCAACCGGAACAGACCAACTTATTCAGTTCCCGAAAGAGACCGCCCCGTGTGTTGGTGATTGTTTTGGTCGGGGCGGTGTTTCTTTTGAAGGTACGATGAATGCAAACCTGGAATTTCTGTCGCCAGCGTTAACCGCAGTGCAAATCACCCTGGAATTATCAGTCCCCCTGGGATCGTGCTATTTGACTGTCGCATGGAACGAAAATAACCCATACTCATTTATATATTATGGTTCCCCCACTACGCTGGATGCGAATGTCCCTATATTGTGACCCCTAATTGGATTCCCTTAGGTCACTTTCCTTATTGTTCACTGTCTAATCTATGAACAGTAGTAGTAGCAATCCCACAGGCTTTATCCTTTCTATGTCGAATTTGCAATTTGGTGACCAACATGATCACCCCCAATGTGCTTAGATGTTACCTATCCTTTTTCCGCTTAGTTTCCGTATTGTGGCGGTGGATCACGATTTGGTTTCATTTGCGGACTTCCGAATGTTTCATGGTACGCAGCAAGCCACCGAATGGCCAATCATCCTTGTGACCAATCCAAAGGATTCTGACTTTCTACTTCCACATAAGGAACCGGCGTACCGCATTTTGAGCTCTACTCACATCAGGTATGTCGGTTTCTCAGTATCCGTCCAGCGGCTCTAAACTGGCAATCCTACTACACTTTTCCTTGTTTGATTCAGGATTCTTGTGTGGTCGTTGTACTCAATTCTTGACGTTTCGGTCTTCATTGATGGAGAGTTTCAAGGCAATGCGACTCGGGCTACTCCGGTCAGCTATGACCCTTCCCCTCTTTTTGTGTTGCCGTGGAATGTAACTCGATGGGCAGATCGAAATGCTCATGAAATACGTGTTGTGGCTACGGTAAGTCCTGCTTGTCCAACCTTCACTGCTGTCGCTTTTGCTCAACACTGTTTGGTTTACCACTATAGCTAACCAACTGTGTTTTGGTTTTCTCATTATACTGGCTTTTTTCGGGTGCAGTTTTTCCGGATTAAGTGCATGCCAAACTTAAAAAGATAAATCCTAATGTATAGCTCAGTGAATTTGCTTGTCTCAGTAGCATTACTAGTAGACGGTCGGTGCTACTCGCCTTCCAGGATGGGGACCGCGTGATCCTCACTGTGCCTGGTTGGAGACACTACAAGATATGGCTGCCAACCGATGTCAGTGGCGTTCTTGTTGCCAGTTTCTATCCAGATTGCCTGAGTGAATGTCTGGAGGTGTAGGCACCTCGGAATGATTGTGTTAAGCTAGCACTAAGTCCCTCCCCCATCCACCTTTATTCTTTTCTTTACAATAAGGCTTTCAAATAAGTCATGGTTGTACGGCAGTGAAGCATCGGTGTTGAACACTGATGTCATGCTGTCGTTGATGATGATGATGATGATGGTAATAATAGTAATAGTAATAATATTACAACCATCATCCATAAGGTCCGGTCATACAAAGACCACCTACATCATAAGGGCCAATTTTCGATTCCCAAAAGCAGGTTCAATTGATGCCTATTTATGTCTACTAACAGCCTAATTTGCTATCAGGACTAATTTTGATAATCATGTAGCTCCTTTACATGTAGGTAGGGAAAAAAAGGTTTATTTGTGGGAGTTTCAACCATAAAAGAGTGCACGTTACCTACCCTTACTATTCCTCGACTGATTGCTGATAGCCAACCTTATTGTGGGTCAGTGCCCATCACATGAAATTCAGTTTCGAACCCGCGGCCTCTCGGTCAGTGGTTTGAGCACAATTGTTCAGCCACAACCGGCGGATCAGCAGTGTGATTAGCTCACACTTAGACAGGATATTTCATCACTCATCCTTCAATCACAGGGTCCACATCACGTGTTCAGTGCGTCGGGTGGCTCTTTGAGCCAATGTAACAAAATGCAATACCTATTTTTCTATAAAAGTCCTCATCGGACAGATAGAAAAGGGATCAATCAACAAATGCCCGTCTCTTAGCTGCTATGCTTAATCAGTCGAACTGCGGTGGTATGTAGAGAGCATGTATGCTGGTCGCAAAGTTCAGTGTCACCCTTACAATCTTTTTGGCTTAGCATTTTTCGGTGATTCAGCGAACAATGTAGGGATATCCATCATCTTCCCAGACCGTACCAACATGGGATCATCCAAACGGTGTGGTCAACAATGTCCAGACCAGTAACTCAGCCTCACACGATTCACGGAGTCCAACTGACCTGTTGTGGCCTATATTTAGTAGGTCACTTGACCTCCAAATCGCCATCGTGTTAACCCAACGGCTGGGAAAGCAGAGCACTTACACTGATAAGGCTACTGAAAACTCTTCGGCAGACTCTCTTGTTCCTGTGGTTGTTCAGGTAGGCACCGTCATTGTCTAAACAATGTGCTGCGATATTCTCAAATATCGTCCCAATTGAAACATGCAGCACATTCATTCGAAGAATATCATTAGAAATGAGGGATTCAGCTGGGATTCATTCGTATGTACTTCGATTATCCTGACCTATTTTTAATCCCCCTGTTTCAGGATGCTTCGAATAACCGGCGAGTTGTGTCGCACCAGTTCGTAGTCAATCGTGAACCTACTTGGAATTTCACCCGTTTAGCTGGTTTCGCTTTACACCCGGATCATTCTTTCAACGTGAGTTGCTGTGGTTTTATAATTTGCGTCTGTTCTAAATTGGTTTCTATTTTCCCTGTTCAGCTGGTTCATGTTTATTCTTTGGCGGCTATCGATCCAACTCTTTAGGATCACTGTATGTACTCACCAGGTATGCCTGAAACCACACATGGTGTGATCACCTTGTTCTCATCGGTTTATAGTAGTTCGTTTAGCTTGGACGCAAACGTACTGCCCTGCATGATAACTAGTTTAAGGCAGCAAAATCATACAAGAAGAGTCCAGCGATGGTCTGCTCTCTGAAAAATATTTTGTGAACAGCTATGATCCGAATCGATACCGTTCGAGGTCACTCTAACGAACGCGATATGGACGTGTGAGTGGACTTTGTTCAAAACGCATCATAACCTCTCTGAGAATTGCTTTCACTCGAAAGGACAATGTTAGTTCTTTTTGACATTTGAATATCGATTTGGTTTTCACGGGAGACTCATCTGAATCCTTCTTGTCGAAGAATTTTCGGAAATCTTGTGAGTAGTTTCCTTGGTGAAAAGATTAGTTCTTCTTTAGGTGGCGAAATAAATTTTCTCCTCTAGAAATATAATGGATATGACGACAAAGAATGCCTGTTGCATAAACACAAGTTAATCAAGAATGAATCGGGGGACGAGATAGACCAAGTGGTTGGAGCGCGAATTTACTGACTGGATGGTCCGTGGTTCGAACCCGGCCTCTGCCACTCGACTTCCCCTGTCTAGGCTTGGGCAGCTTGGCAGTATCCCAGCCCTCGTGCCTCCTTCGTGTGGCATGGCAGCTAGGCACCAAAAGGGTGCGCTGGTCGGTCCTAGCAACACATTGTCTTACAATCGAGAGACACAGAGTGCAAGACCTTATCGCTGGAGACCATTTACATGACAGTGGTTAGCATTTGTAGTTAACTTGTCCTTATAATGAACAGTGGTTATAGGATTGAGTGTTTGATGGAGAGTAAAGAATTTCGAACCGCGTGAGTAATGGAGAATGATTGCGAGTGTTCCTACTAAGGGTTGCTATGTCGGTATTCCGCTTCATCTTTTACTATCCCGTATTGTAACGATTGGGATCCCACCGGTAGGTCGAAGCCTCACGGACACGGAAGTCGCGAAATTTCTCCATTAAAATGTGGCGATCTGTACGTAAAACTAGCGCAGTTGAATCACGTGCTAAACACTTTTTTGTGTAGATTTCGCCTTGTGAGTGAAGCCAATCTGTGCTGAAAAGCCGAGGAGCACTGTATAGCTGTTTCATCTTTATTGGGAATCATTAGCAGTGCGCATCTCTGGAGAGTCTCGAACCCGCGACCTCCTGGTTAGTAGTTTGAACACTTAACAGTTTGACCACGAGCGGTCTGTGGTTAAGCAACACTTAGGATAGAGTGCTGCTCATCCTTCAATCATGGGACCAACATCATGCGGTCACACATGTTGACTGGCTCCTCGAGCAGCGGCTTCGATGGAAGCGCGATTTAATCACACTGCTGATCACACTTACAGAACGAAATCTCCACAAAATTCCCCAATCTTCTCACACTACGAACTATCTACATCCATCACAACTATATTAGGTCCGGTTAGTCCTTTTAGCAGAAGTGACCATCTGATGAACAAAGTGATGCGGCTGCTATCTGAGGTTGAAATTTTTTCGCTGTACCACCATATCCACGTTTAGACGAACAAAACTGCCACGTTGGTCCACAACCGCTGTGTATGTATAAGTTTGGTCACTTGCAACATGAAATTCCGAAGTTACTAGGCTTTCAACAAATCGCTCCAAGGGAAATCCTTGTTTGTCACATCGTTCGGTTTTATCGTAAAAATAGGTGTTCAAATGCGTTGCCACTGCCACGTACTTTTCTCAGATTCCAAAAGCTTTATCGTAGCGATATTCTGATGTCTTTATTTGGTTCACTAATGCATCATATGTTCGGTATAAACATAGTTTTGCATATGACAACTTCATCCTTACGTGAATGGTGTTGTGTAGTCTGGGAAATGGCTGCAAACGTACAGTACCCCTGTGTCCTATAAGCAGCTTTCTAAAATGACCGGGAAGAAGGCGACTGACAGCAACTGTATCTGAAGAATGCGTAATTCACGAGACTGAGTGTAAACCAACTTTGTGTACTTAGCTGATGTTGACCGTTTGTTTATCTTACTCCAACAGGTACAGAATCATTCCAAGTTGTTTTCTGCAAAGCATTTATTTCCTTTCATGCGCGTTCACTGTTCGGTTCTGGAAAAAACACTTTCCTAGACTGAATCGTCATCTTCAGCTGTAGAGACTGCGCACCCTTACAGGGGTTATGGTTGCTACAGTTTCGTTCGCTGATAATCTGAGGAGTTAGGGATACGAATTGGACGCGGTAGCTAGTAGAATTGATGCGTCAGTTTGCACTCCCAGAGTGAATGAAAACTAGAATCTTCTTATGGGTCACTGTAGTGCACCCAGAGTGAATAAAAACAGAATCTTCTTATGGGTCACTGTAGTCCACCATGTTTGGAACTGGTAGATGATTCGGACAGATGTCCTGAGCCGCATGACTTTGTATGCAAAAATTGCTTGTAAGCTAGTGACGATTTTAACGAGCCACACATTCTCTCTGAGGATTCGCACCAATCATAACTAATAACAGTCCGAAAGTTTCCAACCGTCCACTTCCCGTCTAAGGTGATTAAACCTGAGTCTGTATGAATTGGTTTCAAATTGGAATCCCTACACAGTACAACTGTGTGTTTGCACTGATACATGGTGTGAAATGTGCATTCTGACAATAGTCTTTAACTCCGCTTTTTTCGTGGAAAGCCATCCTCACATCTGGATTTATGGAACTTTCCTTACTAAGCCAGTGAAAAACTCTCGTTGTTCGGTATTTCCTTTACTGATGGCTTTCTATCTACCAATTTGCTTTTCAGCTTAAACTAGTCTTCTACTTGTTAGAAGGCATTTTCTTTTGTTTCCTACTGATGCCACGATTGATTCCGTCAAAATTTTCCCGTGAGTTTTGATTATACCTTTACATTATCTGCCTGCGAGTTACCTTTCAAAAGTTTCCTAACCTCACTTGTTGTGCATTAATGTATATCATCGCAGTTTGGACAATATTTTAGCCGCTCCACTATGAACGTCATACAGACCGCCAAGTCCTTGACTGTTATTTCAAGTGTTCTTGTGACCTGGGACAACGTCAGTGATGGCTCATTCGGTACATCGCTCGCTTGGTTAGTGAGGGGTCGCGAATTCTATTCTCGCCTTTGACCTCTGTCCTTCGACTTGTAGTTCCAAGATAACACAAGATGGATAACTAGAATGAATAACTGTGTTTGTCCGTTTAATAAACTTCAGATTGTTTTTGAGGTCTCCGTGGGGCCTTTGTGTGGCGTGGTGAAATTTCTTCTCTGCCGAGGGTCAGACCAGAGACAGGCACTGGGCTAACCCAGTTGGAGGGATTTGACGAATCTTCATTGTACACAAAGTTCGGTTTTGAGAAGTTGGATGGCGCCCAATCACGTCGTCTGGTCGCTTTAGACCGTTCTTGTGAAACCTGCCACACGATCCGAAGTGCAATGTCTCTAATGAGCGACATGCTTCGTGTCAACTAAGTGGGTTAAAACAGGACTTTGGATTTCGCCTTATCCCTTAAGGATGAGCCACTTCGAGCAGTATTCTCCAGTCAGTGAGGAATTGTAATGTGAAAATATTCCCTTCCTAAGGAAATTCTTTTTTACAGAGATTGTGTTACTTCGGGAGCTTGTTTCCTTATATCCCATAGTACCCTATTTTACGTGCTCTTCACTTATTTTTGTGTTTTTTCATATGCGCTTTTATATCTTGAGTGACTGGAGGAGAGAGTGGAACAGAGATCATCGCACCGTTCCTGTAACCCTTGTTACTTTTGCTTAAGTGGTTATCACGAGTGTATCGTCGTCGCGGCGTCCGGTTTCCAGTCTTTCACGTTTAGTGTTACAATGCTCGGGAGTTGTTATCGAAGAGCGAGCGCAACATAACAATCGAGGTGATGCATTGATGCAAGTGTTTATTTGTCAGCATTATTTGCAACTGATCTGATCTTCTTCTTTGTGCCTCACAAACCATCGTATTCCCATATTTGTCCATGCATATCTGGGTCAGTTTTGAAATCAGCATGTGTAAACCAACGCTTTTCCTGTTTTCAGGCAACTGTTTGCGAAGTTCTCGCTTTTGCGTGGGTCTCTACCGCCTGACGCATTTCAACCCTTGTTGTATTCCTCTTCTGGGTTTCATTCTTTATCAGTGTTGCGGTACGTTCCTATTCCATCATCAAATATCAGCTTTTGTCTTTGCTGTTTTCGGTGTCCAATAGCCCATTTGATACCTTATTTCGCTTAATTTGTAACTGGCTTCAGGACTGAGCGCTCTTCTTGGAAGTAATATCACATTACCGAAAATTTGCACACTGTCGGCTGTCCACCACCAAGGCGTTTAGGTGAATGTGGACATTTCGGCCGTGTATCTTTAGTTGGATGGCCACCAGCTCTTTCCTTCCGCTGCATGACGGAGGACTTGGGTACATGTTTAGTTAGCAAACATGTGTATTCAACCTGTGCGGTAGAACACTTGCTGTGGAATTATCCCCTATTCTTTCTATCGCCTTCCCCTTCAGGTCCAACCTTTATGGGCTTCCTGATTGGTTATCATTTCGGTGTCGTTTTCAGCTTTGGTATCGTTGTTGGTACCACTTTTGTCGTGGAATCCCTCACCTACGTGTACGAGGGTATTCAGGTGAGTTGTTTTCAACCACCTTATTTACACCACCAAGAGTTGCTGTTCTACCAAAGACTGGATTTTCAGTCGGCAGAGAAGCACACAGTGTGTTCCAAGAGTTTTTCTCAATATCTAAGCAACAGACTATTTCCCACTTATCATTCTCAGACATGTTAACACACTTCCTTGCTGACTTGGCATTCCCCTTCAGGGCTTTTTTCGGAATGCATGTTCTGACAAATAGGCTTTCCGAACTCCATTGCTTCATCCTTAGTCTGTCCGATGACAGAAGACTACAATACGATTGATCATGTGTCTAACATGGTCATCTTGCATAGCGAACTTCTGTGGCCACTTGTATATCTCGAATATTTAACTGCGTAAGTAATTCGGTTCACTCATGTCTGAGGTACACAGTATGTAGATCAACAAAGACCAGGTTCTACACCGTTGTTTCGTTCGCCGGTCTTTTTTCAGTGGTATGTACCTAACGTCATAAGGATTTACTTTCGGATACGGTTCAGGGACAACAAGTGCTCTCACCGGGGATCACGCGCACCGCAACGCGCAGGTGTTAGCCAAGGCACAGTGAACTCCCAACTGTCTTAAATCCAAACATTCAGTCCCTTGTTTTACCAACCCAAGGGCGCTGATTTAACAGTGCGTTATTCAACTCTCTGAAAATCTTGTTCGCAAGACAACCCTTTGGTATCAGTCTGATGGCACGAGTGGAATTCTATGTCGGACCCTCCAAGGTGGGGGGCCACCCACTGCAGGCTAAGGAAGCAGGCCGTATTAATCAGCCGACCTATAGGAAAGAAGATCCCGTATGAAAGATTCACTCACGGTTTTTCTTTCTTTTCAGCTCCTCATATTTGTGATTTTTTACATTCCACTTCCCGTATGGTATCTTGGAAGGACCCATGCCGTTTCTCGCACAGAATCCGTCAACCTGATCCCAACGGAAGACAAAACTCCGTCTATATGTGATCGAAATCCGGCTGCAGTACCAACTGTTCGTGTACAGCAATCGGTGCCGATCCGTTGCGTTGGACGAATTCCGTTAGCTCTGTTCATTCATGCTGTAATTTTCAGTTCTCTTCAACTCCTGTTTCTGATTGTGACTATTGGTATTCCGTATGGAGCATTGGCAGCCTTTCTTAGCCCTGGACGTCTATATCCAGTCGCCCTGTGCTGGTTCATAGCCCTGCAAGCAAACGAGATTCTGACTCGTGTGCCCGGAATTTGATGCCTCCTTTCAATCACTGACCACGTTGCCCGAGCTTTCAATGGGACTCGTACCTCTCTATCTCTTTTCACTTTCAACTGAAGATTAAAATCATTTACTTTCACAATCTGTTCCTGCTTATTTTCTCACATATGGTAGGACGTGACGTTCGACAGACCTAATACGCCACCACACGCTTCGAACATGAAATTTTTGCGGTTGTTACTACTCGTCCACTGCTACTTGGTGTAGCCTAACCAGTGTAGTGTTGTTATGACAGGAGAAGTACGGTTGCAACAACCGTAATATAAATACAAATTTACCAAGTTCCAAGTTTTGCGCACAGTGAAATAGAAGACGATTCGGTAAGTTTCGAGCGTCGGTGGCGCGCCCTGAACTAGAGTTCCTGACTGGCGCCCTAATCAACCTACATACCCAGGACAAGTATCAAGGCATTGTTCGAGCCACCGGGCGAACTAGTCATATGGGACCACCGTGAACAAGCACGCTTTTTAGATTTGACCGTGAAATTTGGTCCAGCATGTACTGCTGAAGTAGTCATGACATTCGCGTGGCATGTCAGATGTCTAGTGTTTTGGACGCAGGACTAACACAAGTGTGCGCTGCTGACCCGCTCTAATCAGAGCGAATGTCAGGCGCAGTACCTCCTCATTTTGGTGAGGGCAAGACAGCATGGTCGTGTCGAAATCGATGATGAGTACCAATTTGTAATTGAGAGGCAACTGTCTCATCGTCTGAGTGAATCAGTTTCAGTAGTGTCTCAACTTGCTGCTGTCCGTAGTCAACATAAAACAGGGAAGATATATTAGTTTTTGCACGATGTTTTTATTTTCATTGCCCCTGGAATCGATTACCAGACCAAGTCTCAAGTTTGTAGTGAAGTCTGGGTCTAATCTAAGCTTTACTGGTGATCCCTTGAATGACACCACCCGTTTAAAGAAAACTTACTGTGGTCTGAACTACGTGAAAGACAGTGCACATGAGCTGTTCGATACACACGTACACTTATATAGTGTGCCGTGCGAGCGTTCGGATGACCATGTGGGCAGTTCGAATTCCCGACGGATTTTCACTACTTAACACAATCACTTTATATCAAAGCTTGAAAACTAGTTTCAGAATATTTAGCATCGTTAAAATGCTCATTTTTTGTCCCAAAATGATCGAAGAATTTTGGTAAAGATGTAACCGGATCATGGAAAGTTAAGCCACACTAGTTCTGGCTCGTTAGGTTAGACTTATTTTCAACAACTTCAAGCTGTAAAGCACGCGACCGCTGACGGATTCGCACAGCTGAAAAACATGGATTGAGCGTGAACGTGTGTCCAACCAGTTGACGCCTAATTCTGTTTTGTATGAATAGCCAATGATCTTTGCTCGTGAGCCTGAGAGCCACTGAGATGTGAGATTGAACTTTGGTCGGGTGTTCATAACAAACGTGTGCTTATATTCCGAAAAGCCCTATGACATCGTCACGATCAACATCGCCCAAAGTTCAGACCCACGGTGCGATGCTTATAAGTTCCACCATGATGATCGAGCTAGAATCCAAGAACTGCGCCGGATTTCATGCTGAGATTTGGTTGTTGAAGTATCCAGTGGAATTGCATCGCGGATTTAGATTAACTGTGTGAATAGCATAGCTTGGTGGCTTTTCATCCCAACTTACCCGTAGAAGAAACGAAGTGTCGGGTGAAGAGATGAAGTCGTGTGGAATGTGGCTGTGTTGCAGCAAAGTCAGAGAATCCTAACCTTCATGCAATGCATCTGTATGCGAATTCCGCCCCTCGGTTGATTTCCAGAAGTCAGTGCATATTTATTCCCACGCCCATCTGCTAGCTAACCTATGACTCGGTATTGTAAACTAGCCCTTAATGGATGATTTTTTTTGTAATTTCACTTTGATATACGCCAGAGGGCACCATTCATCCGGAGCATTGTTTGCTTATAGTCATGTGTGGTGTCGTAGAATATTTCATTCTGGTGGTGGATTTCGGGTGATAAAGATGAAAGAGTCTAGGACTTTTTGACAGCTTATACTATTTGGACCTATACTACATTATTTAGACCTGCGCGAGCATGCTTGAATACCAGAACCCTACTTGTGGTTAATGCTGCGTAAGTATATAAGGCGAGTACAAACTTCAAGCCATTACGACGCAATATTCGGATTTCTGTCCCTATTTGATTTCATATAAAACTACAATTAGTTCAGCTAGCATGTTGTTTTGCGCACCTACCAAATGGGGACCCCGCCACCTGATGAATTTACTGTTTATCTTTTTTATAGCATACGACTTTTGCTGAGTGCGTTTCTATCATCGTTCTTGGCAAAGTACACTTTCAGCGTAGTCAACAAGATGCCGTTTAGATTTTGTAAGTTGCTGGTCTCAGGCTTTCTTGGGGGGCAGGGAAAATGATAACGGTCAGCTGATACCAAACCCACAAACTGAAGTGGGTCTACCATAGTGCACCGTAATCCCCGGTACAGACTATCGGACTATTGCTGAGTGGCTGACTCACTTCAAAGTGGTTACACAATGAACCTGGTTTGACGAGCACTCCGTCTTCCTGTAAGCTTCTTGGAGTGAGGACATGACCCAGGATCTGTTACATCACTTTCAAGGTTTACTGATCCAGTAGTGCACGTATGTAATATATAGACGTTAAATCAATCCACTTATCAGCTATAAACCGTGTACCATGGGTAAATTGTTTCAAGCTGCTACAGTTTCGATCACCGGATGGACGATAACGCATATAGGACATCAGCTGGGAAGTTTGGGAACAGCTGCCCCTAAATAATGGTGTCAACGGTCACATTCGGACTGTGACCTCGCTCTCATTTTGACATGTTTAAAGTGTATCAATCGTTTCAGTGTCTAAACGCTCGATAAAAACAAGACGGATCCGTTCCGACTAGGCTGGGTGTATGTATCAACCGACTCCCATTAGTTTGTGCATGCGAATGGATGCCGTAAAATTTCCCCACTGGAAGGAACAAACACCTGAGCTACCACACACACCTGAAAGTGGTGCATATGAAGTCATACGAAAGATTAAAATGTCACACAGTACTTGGCAGTACCATTTTCCATGAAATTCTCAACTCCATATACGTGATTTAATGCTCAGGTTTTTAGACACGGGTTAAGCACCTATACACCTTGAAGTACAAGTTAAGGAACCGTAGGGACAAGCCATAAGTGGTCCATAAAACCTGTGGCAACTGAGAGCGTTTCATGGACATATTACAGTCGGTCTGTATGCTCCGGTGGCGGGACATGATTTAATTTTTCTATGTCCACGTGCCCTAACAGGGGCCGCTTTTCCAGACATGGTTTTGCAACTACTTGGCGCCATCGCCGAATCATCAAAAGTGACAGGAGTCCCGCGAGAGGCAAAAACCGGAAAGTGAAACAGATAGCTCCATTTCATGCCTAGGTTACTTGCATATACCGGTCATGCAGGTTCAGGGTTTTAGCCACATACTGACCCCATACCAGCGAATAATGGATAAAATCGGAATGTCCTGACAGATGCGTTACATCAGATTACGCCACCTAACTCTGACTGGCGCGTTTTTCATTCATGTAAACTTCAAACAATTTTGACGATAAGTTTGCAAAAGAGCCACCTGTCCGTCTCTTTCAAAAACCAATTTCATCCAAGGTGGTGTTTTGTATTCAGCATTTAGTTGAAGTAGCAGTGCTAGTTATCTTTAGCCTGTTTGGAAGCTGTACTTTTCAATTTACTGTCTTGATAGCAAAGATTGTCACGATACCTCCTACTTATGCGCAGTGGACTTCGGTCAGTAAACTGAGAGACTGTGCTTTCTATCCACTTGACCACCAGGGAACGTCCAGCAACTTATCAATCAATTTTAAATGGCAAAAATATCTGTGCTGGCTCGCTGACCTTATCATACTTAGCTGTCTCTGGTAGCACAAAAACCCAGCAAAATGCCTGCGGTCCAGGGAGGCTTTTTAAATTGTCTCAGATTCATTTCATTAGTTCGATCCTAATTTTAAACACTGGTATCTAGCAAACATGAGACAAGCAGAAAGGGAAGTCGCTAATCATTTCCTCACAGAATAATCGGGATCCAACGACCTTTGACAGATCACTGAGGCTAAGAGCCGATGGGTGGTAAAGGTTGCGTTGATCATCAGTCGCAAGGATGGTCATCTCCACAGAAAATCCATTCTTGTCAGATCGGGGTAACAGTGAAGTTCCAATCAGCTGCGTTTGCTTGCATAGGTCCGGATTGTAGAGACGAATCTCAATCCTCATAACCGTACTTATTAGTTTTCGTCTCATACAGCTGCCTTCGTGATTACGATGACGGATCCCAGTTTGACACAAATTCTCACGGTTTGTCCTTGTGACAGGTCCCCTCGAGACAGCTTATTACTGTACTGGTGAAAAGGAAGAAGGCCTTCGCTGCGGAACCCTTTGGTGGGAGACACCAACTGAACAGTTACAGACTATTGAACAGGGAATCAAAACTCTCATATGCATCTTGTTTATAAAAAGTGTGTATCCGCCTTCCCGAACGGGTCTTCCTGAACTTTCCTGGATACTCACTGACTACCACTCAAACGTAAACGAATGCTACAAAGCGATTCCACACATTTCGTAATAAATCTCACTTTTCAATAGATGTGAAGCGGACTTATGAGAAAACAACATACTGCTCGCATGCTTCATCAGTAGTGTCCACCGTGACACTGGTAGATGCATTTCTACCCTCTTTATCAACATCGGTATTAGCCAATAGCAAAAAATTGTTTTCGAGGTAATATATCATCCTCAGTTCGGTCGTGAATCATATTGGTAGCTCTCTTGTGTCGTAAAATATACTCAAGCATTTTGCAAGACGTACCACTAAGGAGTAGAAAGTCAGTGGATTCTTATTTCCTGGAAACTCATCGACTGACTATCGTGGATTCTCCCACGAAAATATATCAGTATAACCGATCGAAGTAGAGCGGCAATAAAAGAGAATCCATTGCCAATTTTAAACACTTGA